TAACAAACAAGATGCAATAGAAAAGTGTTCGCAAATAACTGTGAGTCACCAATGTTGTGGTTCCCCAAACTTTGGAAATCTTCTATTTCTTTTGTTGGTGGGAGAGGAAGCTTATTTGTTTCCTTCCTGGGCCCTGGAATAAAAATACGTTGTTGTCTGTGGAAGACACATGAACTCATTACTACCAAATTTAGCAGCCATCATCAATAACATCTCTGAAATCACAGTTTTCACAGTTTTCTGTGCTAATTGTATGATCTTCGATACTCATTAAAATAAATTCCTATTTTTTCATAGTCTGCTCTATTTCCTAAAAATCATCTTTGTATTACCAGTTTGATGTTCTCTGTGGAACACGGTCAAAGCTTAATGTCCACAGTGTAGTGTCTGTCTCCATCTCATTTTCCTTCCTCTCTTACCTCACCTGCTATATTTTCTCCAAATACGGTGGTAATTTCAAAAAACGTGGGTTTGCTTCTTAATTTTGACTTCTTAATATTCCAGTGGAAGGCCGGATGCGGTGGCTTACTCCTGTAATCCCAATACTTTGGGAGGCTGAGGCTGGCGGATCACCTGAGGTCGGGAGTTCGAGACCAACCTGGCCAACATGGTGAAACCCCGTCTCTACTAAAAATACAAAAACTAGTCAGGCACGTTGGTGAGTGCATGTAATCCCAGCTACTAGGGAGGCTGAGGCAGGAGTATCACTTGAACCCGGGAGGCAGAGGTTGCAGTGAACTGAGACCAAGCCATTGCATGCCAGCCTGGGTGACAAGAGTGAAACTCTGTCTCAAAAAAAAAAAAAAAAAAAAATCCAGTGGAGATTGTACCTGATATTTTATTAAGCCTTAATGTTACCTCTGTGCTTCTAAAACTCTATCTAAAGATGATCTAGGCTGCCTTGCTAGTAGAGTTCTAATTTGTGTCTACAAGTGAACGTCAGGTGCATGAGGTTTAAAAGGTAAAAAGCAGGGAAGACATTGGTCTCCAGTGACAGGTGCAGAAATGCATGTGGGCATTGGTGGATGGTGAGCATGAAGCAGTGCCACAGTTTCCTGACTTCCACCTGGGCATCAGCCACTTGGGTGTGAACATAATTCGCAAGATTTCCATCAGCCTTTCTGACTTTGCCTGCTCAGTCCTTCCCTTGTTGTGTCAACCTTTAATTCTCTACATGAAACAATCCCTGCTAAAAGCATCTAGTGACTTCAGATTCATTGTCTGAATCAGTTAGTGTTTTCATGTTTGGTTGGTTGGTTTTGTCTTTTAAGCCACTAAACTTTGTGGGATTTCTTAAATTGTGGTAAAATGTACATAACATAAAAGTTTACTCTTTTTTTTTTTTGAGACAGAGTCTCTCTTTATCGCCCAGGCTGGAGTGCAGTGGCGCCATCTTGGCTCACTGCATTCTCCACCTCCTGGGTTTACGCCATTCTCCTGCCTCAGTTTCCTAAGTAGCTGGGACTACAGGCACCTGCCACCATGCCCGGCGAATTTTTTATATTTTTATTAGAGATGAGATTTCACCATGTTAGCCCGAATGGTCTTGATCTCCTGACCTCGTAATCCGCCCGCCTCAGCCTCCAAAAGTGCTGGGATTACAGAAGTGAGCCACGGTGCCCGGCCAAAAATTTACTCTCTTAATCATTGGTACAGTGTATTCACACTGTTGTGTAATTGATCTCCAGAACTATTTTCATCTTGCAAAACCAAATGCTATTCCTATCTCCCCTTACCCCAGCAAGCACCATTCTTTTTGTCTCTATGGATTTGACCATTATAGGTACCTCATATAAGAAGAATTATACAATATTTGTCTTTTGTGATTGGTGTATTTCACTTAGTATGATGTTTGAACCAGTTGTATTTTGTCATATTTAATATATGGAACCTTGGCCTGAGGAATAAAGGAATTGTTTGATTTTGTTGACATAAAATAGATTCCTTTCCTAGAATTCTAAGTAGTTCTACCCATGCAAAAAAATTCAAATGCTTTGTTTCTTACTTCTTTTGCAGTTTTCTACTACCCTGATCTTTAATGTACCCAAGGGGCTGACGATAGCTCAGGATAATATGCCAGAGAACCTCTGCCCACTGGCAAGCCCCGGGAAACCTCTCCTTGTTGTGTTAAGTCTCTGAAATCAGGCACTCTTACCCATGCTGAGTGTTATCTAGACATAATTTCTCTCCAAATTCTATTACTGGCCTTTGGCTGCAGACAAATAAGTTAATTCACATCCATGTCAATAACTCAGTCACACTAAAATTGAATCAATGAATATAATTAGGACTCCAAGTATGCTGTAATTTGGCAATGATGGTACTCATAGTGAGGTGGTGAGATTAATCACTGGGTGTCGTAAATGAAATGTGCTGGTTCACAAAGAATCCAGCACAATTTCCCTGGCTGGGATGAGGGCTGGCAGTCGTGGGTTTTCCTGGACAGTGTCAGGCCCATACACTCTGGGGGAGCCTGAGTGCGCTACCGTGAAAAGATGCAAGCGTGAAGAATGTTCTCCATCACCTGGAGATTCAGGGTCAAACGAGTCAGTGTTCTGTTTTGGCTGCCTAGGTTTTGGGGGGTGCTAAATGTCTTTACCAGCCCAGGAAACCTGTGGTCCCCCAACTATCCAGTACAATGAAGGAAAATTCGAAATGAAAATACCTCATGCAAACTCGAAAGCTCATCCATGAAAAACTAACTTGTTCTGCACATGAATCTTCTGTGTTTGGTTTTCTGGTTTATAAACCCACAGCGGATCAGAAATAGCAAGTTACAAAATGAAACAGAGCAAAGTACACATGAAATGACAATGGGCAATGAGGAAACTCTGGAAAATAACACAAACACAGCAGACATGGGACCTCCAAGAACATCTCCGTTTGGGCCATTAAAGGTAGGAGCAAATAGCTCTATAGACTGCAGCAGATCTTATGTTTATCTACAAATTTCACCACCACACACACAACACGCTTACAAACATAAGCAGGTCTTATGTTTATCTACAAATTAAGAAACACGTTCATAATTACGATGTTCAGGTGCCCTGAGGAGACTGATAATCCTTGTAGTTTATGGAGTCAAGGGATGCAATAATATGTTTAAGCACAGTTCTCTCTCCCACACGTATTAGCGGGCTCATGCATGGTTCTTAATATGTAACAGGCATCATTATCTAGCATTTGACGGTGCTCATTTCAGACAAAGAAAATGAGGCTCAGAGAAATTAACTAACTTTCTTAAATCACAGGGTCACTAAGTAATGAAGCATGAATTCAAACCCCAGCAGCTGAGCCCCAACCCTGCTTTTAAGTACCACAACACATAGCTCCCGTGTGACACTTCCAGATAGCCAGAAGCTTTCTTCTATTGGAAACACATCCTACTACCCTCTAGAATAAAATTATTGGAAATATGTCTTTAAAAGGAAACTGACTAATGTAACTCTTTGGAGCCTGGGGGAGCCTGTGCTATTCTCATCAAGCATGAGTATTAGTGAGTTGATTTCAAAGTTCATTAAATGAGTAAGTGTGGGAAACAAATTAGGAAAGAAACTATTCAGAGGAATAAAAATGACAGAAACAGAAGTTTTAAGGTTGTAATGTCCTCGTGTTACAAAGCATGTGTCTATAGGCTGATATAGGCCCAAATCTATTGAATTCCTATGGAGTGATGGTTTTGCATGCACATTAGATCTCTTTTGGAAAGAATAAACGCATACATTTGATAAAGAAGTTTGGTAGTAGTAAAATAGATTGTGCCGTTGAGTGCAGGTGATTGTCACATTCTGTGGTATAAAGATAACCAGCTATGGAGTAGAGGGCTGGATTTGATTGCTGTCTCTACTATTTATAAGCTCTTTGACTTTGTGCAAGTTAACTCCTTGTATCTTTCATTTTCTTATCTGCAAGACTGGGAAAATAGTAATATGTGCTTGCCAAGTTATGAGGGAGGATTAAATGCATTGGTCTTCATGTATTTCTTAAGACATGGTACTAGATCGGAGTTGGCAAGCTCTTTTCTGTAAAAGGTCAGACTTTGAAATATTTGCAACATTCCTGGCTACCAGGACAGAACTGCAGCCACTGAATTACAGAAGTCTTTTCTTTCCGTGGGAAAATAGCCATGCAACATACAGAAATTAATGAGCACAGTCGTGTTACAATGAATCTTCATTTACAAAAACAAGCCGTGGGTCAGACCTGACCTCAGGGCTGTGGTTTGTTGACTGCTTCACAAGATAAATGAGGGTTAATATCATCAAAGGATTTTGATGAGAAGTCACTGGCATACTAGACGAAAAGTATGTGGTACAGTATCTTGCCCGTGAAAGGTGTTTAGCGAATGATAGTTATTATTACAAGGCAGATACTTTATATGTAGCCTAGAAAATTACATACGACTTTCCAATCATCAGACCCTCTGTCCTAGCTTCTTAATTTTCATCAAGGAAGGTTAAGAGACAAGGTTAACTTAGCTAAGAAGAAATTATGTGCAAGAATAAATATAAGCAAAATGACAGAATTTGGTTACAGTTCCAAGATTCTTAGTTCAAAACAGAATAGGAAGAAAGGTTAATTTTCTCCTGATGTGGCCTTCCCTGACCTCGCAATATGTCCCCAGAAGGCTGTAGACCCTTTCTCCTTTATAAAACATTAAATGTGACTACCTTATATTAGTAACAGGTGTATTAATGGGGGCGCTGATGGCAGGCAGGGAACAGGCTGAATGACATGAATTCTTCCCTTCATAAATGGGCGTCTTTCCATGAAAGCACAACATCATTTGTTGAATGTCAAGTAGACTAGAATTTCAGACCTGGAAACATTTGCCTTGAAGCATCAAAACAATTGAATACTGTAATGGCTCAGCACCTGGCTTAAAGTTATAATACCAGGATTTACATTATTCTTAGCCACAGGCATATTTTTCACCAGCTTTTAACAACCCACCTCCTTTTCCCCTTCCCTCCCACACAATAACTGGGATGACTTGTCTAGATCTTAGGCAAAAATTCACTTAGCACATCAGCTCCTGGAAACAAATGCACTTAACCAGAAAAATAGGGACATCAACCAGCAAAGATGCATCCTCATTTAATAGAGCTTGAAATTACTATAATCTGTAAAGTACAGTGAGAAGAAGAAGTTTCACCTGCCTGCACATCAGTCATTGATTCTCCGTTTGACTTGGAGGGACTCTGAGGGACCGACCTGAGCCTGAGAAGAGGCAAGATTCCCCTTCAAGGACACACTGGGAACTTACGGACCTCTTTCTCCATGGTGCAGAGCACAGAGGTAATTACATAATTGTCTGTTCAATTACTTTATTCAAGAATCACAATCTCAAATTCCATAAGCCACCAGAGAAATGACATCAATGAATGAAGCAGTTCATTTTAGGGACTTCAGTTAACGGAAAGGGGTGTGTCCCAATAAAGACTCATACAGTCAAATGTTTCCATGCTGGCATACCCCACTGTTAATTGATTTCCCACATTTTCAAGGCAGCAGGTAATGTCATTTTTAATACTTTTATTTTGGCTTTACAGAATTACTGCAAAGATAGTACAAAGTTCCTGTAAATCCAATGGGGATACCCAGTGCCCCTATCATTGACATCTTACATTAGGATAGTATATTATTATTAATTATTATATATTAGTATAGTATTATACATTAGTATAGTGTTATACATATGCATAGTATGTGTGATATACATTATTCATTACTATTAGTGCTACTAATAATTATACATTAGTATGTATAACAATATATATTAATAATATATATTATACATATGTATAGTATTATACATTGGTATTAGTATTAGCAATAATTACTATATGTTAGTATGGTATATTGTTAGTATGCTGTAGTTATTATTATTAACTGAAACCCATATTTTAACCAAAAGTATAAATGGTAAATGTTCTGGTATTTAAATATTGATCACTGTGATAGGCAGAATAATTGATTCCCTCAAAGATGTCCCAAATACATAGGCAGAATAATTGTTCTCCAAACATTTCAAAGACTTTCTAATCTTTGGAACCTATGAATAGGCTACCTTACATGGCAAAAGAGACTGTGAAGATGTGACTGAGATAAGGGTTAAGCTAATGGAGAGACTGGGAGCTTGTCCTGGACTATTCTGGCGGACCCATGGGAATCACACATGTCCTATTAGAAGGAGGCAGGAGGGTCAGAGTGAAAGGAGCTGTGATAAAGGCAGCAGAGATAGGAGTGATGTGGCCATGAGCAAAGGAACACTGGAAGCTTCCGGAAAAGGAAAATGGTCAGGAGATGGATTATACCTGAGAGCCTCAGAAGAAATTGAACCTTGAAGATACCTTCAAGGGATAATGATGTTGATGATTCTCTTGCTAGTCCAAAATTATCTTTGTTCAGATTTCAAATCATGAGGCACGTGTCCCAGGGGCCCAACCTAGACAAAAGAAAAGCTTCATAGATAAAGTCTTATTAAGAGAAATCAGAACAGGCCATTGAGGATTTTTCTTTAGACTCTTGAAATCGAACAGACTGACAATGCACTCTGAAACGGTGCTCGCTCTGCTTGCATAATTTTCAAAAGCATAGTCACCCCGTCTGTAATGACACTTCACCTGCAAACCCAGTAAGACCCATTTTAGATTTCTGAACTGGAGGATAATACGTGAGTGCTGTTGTAAGACTATGCTAGTGGTAATTTGTTGCAGCAGCAAAAGGAGCTAATACAGGCATCAATTCAATGACAAAGAAATACTCTGTTCCATCAAACACATACTCATCTGCTAGGCCCCCATTGTGTAGAGGGTGCATGTCTGCTGTGTGACACTAGTCTTAAAGGGGACCGAGACTGTGCCCTCTCTGTATCTCAGACCTTAAAACAGCACTTGACACAGAGAAAAGACTCATTCTATATGGATTAAAGTAATGCTTTTTAGCCCTTGAAGAACTGCTATATCAATGGTTGTCTTTGATATGCTATGCATTCTTTATTCTTCTTTGGCAAGAAGTGTGAGAAATATCAACTCTATTTATCTCTGTCCACTTAGGGCTCCTGAAGTACTTATCCTTATTTCCAAGCAACTTTAAGTATGTCTTTGGTTTCTTATTATGGAACAAAATGAGATACATACTTAACGGTTTGCAGATTAAGTATCATTGCAGACGGGGTGACTATGCTTTTGAAAATTATGCAAGCAGAGAGAGCACGGTTTCAGAGTGCATTGTCAGTCTTTCACTTTCAAGGGTCTAAAGAAAAAAAAAAACTCATTGGCCTGTTTTGATTTCTCGTAATAAGACTTTAATTGTGAAGCTTTTCTTTTGTTTGGGTTGGGCCCCTGGGATAAGCGCCTCATGACTTGAAATCTGAACGAAGGTAATGTTGGACTAACAAGAGAATCATCAACATCATTATTCTTTAAAACTGCAAAGCCCAGTGTGTTTGCACCATTAGACTTCAGTTTTCCTCTGCAAAGAGAAACCAAAGGCGAGAAGACCACACACACACACACACACACACACACACACACATCACAGAAATGGGAATCTCAGGATCAAAACATTATTTTTTTCCCAGAGAGGTTCTGATGGGAGAAAGGGTTGTTCTGCATCTGTTTCCCTACATCTTGTCCCTCCTGCTCACCCTTGTCCTTTCCCCCTGCACAAACACGCTGTAGACGCAGCCATTGGACACCACTGCCTGTGTTTTCCCTGTTTCCTCTTTGACACCTGAACCCTGGCAAGGAAGGCATAGCTTATGCCATCCTGGGTAATTATAATTTGAACATTTTCCCCCCAGGTCTCATGTTGAAATGTGATCCCCAATGTTGGAGGTGGGGTCTGGAGGGAGGTGTTTGAATCATGGCGGCAGATCCCTCATGAATAGCTTGGCGCCATTCCTCTGGAGATGAGTGAGTTCACAGAAGAGTTGATTGTTGAAAAAAGCTTGGTCTCCTCTCACTCTCTCACTGTCTCGCTCCTCTCTGTTGCTCCCACCCTCCCCGTGTGATGCACTGGCTCCCCTTAGCCTTCCACCATGATTGTAAGCTTCCTGAGGCCCTCACCAGAAGCAAATACGGGCACTATGCTTTGTGTACAGCCTGCAAAACTGTGAGGCAAATAAACATCTTTTTGTTATAAATTAGCCAGTCTCAGATATTCCTTTTTAGTAACGTAGAAATGGCTTAACACTCTAAGCCTGTTTTGAGCACATTCCACTGAGGTCTGCTCACAGGTGATTGTCTCCTCCACACGCCCCTGTGTTCTGTGCTGTTGCTGTTGGTGCATCCCTCTCATGATGTCGCTGCTGTGGACACAGCCTGCCCCCCGTCCCCAGAGTTATATTTCCATAGGCCTTGCTCTTCCTATATATTCCAGAAGCAACTCAGTTGGGGTGTGGCCAAGAAGGGTGACAATCCCAGAAATGGTTTCTCTCTTCTGCCTCCTTCAGGAAAATCTGGGCTCCAAAATCTGCTTCTACTGATACCTGGCTGTGGCCAAGGTCTTTCCACCCCTCCAAGGCCTCCATTTTTTTATCTTCATAAGACAGAATGATCCAACCTGCCTATCAGTATTGTGAGTGTATCATGGCTCCCCTGGAGTCCTGCAAGTTCTTGACTGCAGGTTCCCAGGAAATGGCAGATGTGACTAGCAATGATTCATTCATTGTTTCATTAGTCAAGCCAGCTTCCCTGATGATCTACGGGGTGCAGGACTCTGGCATGGCAGGCTGTGCATTCTGCCCGTGCTCGGTCACATTTCAGCCCGTGCCCAGTTCACATTTCAGCCCGTGCCCAGTTCACATTTCAGCCCTGTCTTTTGCTGCCCGGGTGAGCTGGGCTGAATTACAGATCCTTTGCACTTCAGTTTTCTCCCTTCTAAAATAAGTGCTACAGTGACATTGCCCTCAGAATTGTTTTGCAAGGAAGTCAATGAGTATCTTGCATAATGTGTGCAAGACACATAATTGGCCCTAGAAAATTTTAAATAATAATAATGCCACTATGACATTTATCGAAGGGCTCAGACAGTGTGAGTCCTGAGCTGCGTGTTAACCACTGCAATTATTGCTAGTAATGATGTTATTTTAAACTTGTTTAATTATTCCTATATGTACACAGTAGTGCCCCCTTATTTGGGGTTTAACTAACACTTGTTTTAATTACCAAAGTTCAAAAATAGTAAGGTATTTTAAGATAGAGAAAAACCACATTCATAAAACTTGTGTTACAGTATGTTGTTATAATTGTTCTACTTTACTATTAATTATTATTGTTAGTCTGTTATTGTGCTTAATTTATACTTCTGCAATTTTAATCTTTTGTAGAGATAGGGTCCTACTATGTTGCCTAGGCTGGTCTTGAACTCCTTGCCTTAAGCAATCTTCTTGCCTCTGCCTCCCAAAGCACTGGAATCACAGACAAAAACCACCATATCCAACTTCTTAATTTATAAATTAAACTTTATCATAGTTATATATGGATAGGAAAAAACATCATATATGTAAGGTTTATACTATCTGCAGTTTCACGTATACACTGAGAGTCTTGGACTGTATCTTCTGCAGATAAGGGGGAATGACTGTATACACATATATGTACTTCTGTGTGACTATACACATTTAGATGCAGGAGTAGGTGCAGGTGGATATAGGTACGGGGTATACATAGACAGACCTAGAGATGTATTTTTCCTCTTCAAAGAGCAAGGACTTAGGAGAAAACAGAACTAACAAACTGGAACATAGATTTGAGGAACTTGCCCAGAACACAGAGAGACAAAGCCCTGAAAAATATTCTACAGAAGTTAAGAGACATGAAGGATAAAATAGGCAGGTGTTCCATAAGACGAGAGAAGAATGAAGAGGAGCAGCATTTGAAGAGCTGAATCTAAGCATCATCTGAAGTTCATTTTTGTGAAATGCACCTTCAGATTCAAGAATTTACATCAAAACCCCAAGCAGAAGTTTTCTAAGCCCGTGTCTAGATAGCACTTGGTGAGTAAATTCAAGCAAACTTTAGAAATACAAAATAGTGGCCAGGCGCAGTGGCTCACGCCTTAATCCCAACACTTTGGGAGGCCGAGGCAGGCAGATCACGAGGTCAGGAGTTCAAGACCAGCCTGGCCAGTGTGGTGAAACCCTGTCTCTACTAAAAATACAAAAAATTAGCCAGGCATGGTGGCATGTGCCAGCTACTTGGGAAGATGAGGCAGGACAATTGCTTGAATCCGAGATGCTGAGGTTGCAGTGAGCCGAGACTGTACCACTGCACTCCAGCCTGGGCGACAGA